TCCTGCCATTTTTAACATCCCTTAATATCAATTATAAAGTCAAGTGGCCCGCTGTAATTGAATTTGTGCTGTGCACTGACATCCCCTGTTAGGAGGCACTGTCTTGTCCAATTAGAAGGAGCCTTATTACTGGCCAAATTGTGAGTCATTCTGTTAATGTGGTGGTGGTAGAGACGGAGGGGGTTCTATCCTTCAGCTGACGTATTAATGGTGACATCCTCCCAGAGTCATGTGGGGCGATGGGTGTGAAGACTGTAAATTTAATTGACTGCCAGGATGTCCTTGATTCTTTGTCCTACAAAATCAAAATGAAAAACTGCACTTTTAAAAAGAAAATTTGATACCGCAGATTAGAAGTGCATGGCATGTAAAGGAATGTTATCCCAATAATATTGGATATCAAGATAACAATATATTGTGATAGACCAACGTGTTTTGTACAACACCCACATTGACGAGGGCATCAAAATGAGTGAGATTCCATTAAATTGGAACTTTATAAATACCAAACTGAAATTTAACAATCCCTGGTTTAGCAGTACTTGTGAGGAGAGAAGTAATCGTTATATCATGCAGCTCTACAATGGCCGACTCATGCGTTACAAATACAAATAAACAAAAATGAATGAGTTTCATCTCTACAATAAACTCAAAAGTCTTGTGTTTCATTTACAGGAAATAAAGCAGACAGTTGTGTATTCAAAACTGTTTTGTAAACATTTAGCGCTGGCTCAATACACATGCATGGATGCATCTACAGTGAAAATGCATTTTGAGTAGTGATAGCCTTGGAATTAATGGGAGACTGAAGAGGTAAGCATCATTTGTCAGGGGCCTCGTCAATGTCTGGCCAAAAACCAGAGACTAATGAATGTAGAGCAGAAGGGAGGAGAGGGGTTGCATCTGTCTCAATCAACGTCAAGGAAAATCATAATGAAGATACAGCTGTCACAAGTGTTTACAGGAGGGACGTGTGTTAACGGAAACGGTAAAGAAGAAATGTTTGCCAGACAGCAAGGGTTGGGGGCAGCCAATCAGATAACGGGAAATGTTAAAAGCTGGTTGATAAATGGAATAGTCTTATGATCGCATGTGTTTCAGTTTTAATCATGTCACAAACAAAAGATATGATTTACTTCAACTCACAACAAAATAACTAAATTATAATAATCAGGAAGTTGAGTCTTGTAGATCACAGCTTAAAGTAGGGTATTGATCCCAACTTTGGGAAGTACAACTACTAGTTCTGTCTGAGCGTTCGTTCTCTGTGGCCGCCTCCAAGTTTCGGTCCTCCACCATTTCCCTCACCCATGGTGTCCCTGCAAGGTTCCATACTGGGGCTTCTACTTTTCCTCCTCTATCTGTTTTCTCTTCAGCACATCCTGAGCTCTTTTAAATACCATCTTTATGCAGATGACATCCAACTGTACATCTCCTTTAAGCTTTCAATTGGTGTGACCTTTGACCCAGCTCTCAACCTGGATTATCATCTCAGTTCTCTTGTTCGCTCTTCCTTCTTCCATGTCAGGAACATTGCTAAGCTGAGTCTCATTCTGTCCCGCTCTGAACTTGAGATTGTTTTCCACACCTTCATCTCCTCATGCTTAGACTACTGCAACTCGCTTTTTACTTGTCTGAGCAAAACCTCCCTGTGGTCTCCTTTTAAAAGCAGCTGAAAACTCACTTGTTCAAGCTGGCTTTTGCGTGACCTTCATCACCAGTCTCTCCTTATGGGCTCGACACACGGGAGGCGACATCGCCTCTCCTCCATTCATTTTCAATGAGACATGCGCGACAAAGCGATAATCGCGGGTCTCTCTCCTACTAAGCAAAATGCGAAAAACGTGCGTGTGAAAGTTTGCACTCGTGCACGTGTCGTGCACGGACGACCCAGCGACGCGATCCCAGAAAGTTGAAACATTTTCAACTTTTCATCGCTGTCGCTCGAGCAAGGACCAATCAACGGAGGTTTCATTCACTGACCAATGAGCGGGCAGGATGCTCCGCACATCTCCGAGCAAACATGGGGGAGAAGTTGATTATTATTATGTTTTATATAGTAAAATCAGAAGTAAGATTTCACATAACTCTAGCAGCACCTTGTGAAACATCATATCTACCACTTCATTAACTCTAAACCGCTTAAATAACCTTAATTCCCTCCAACCTGACACAGCCAAACAGAACAACGGAAGTTTCGATTTCGCCATGGAACAGAATGCGTAGACGGCTTTGCCGCTGGCCGCTGCCGCGGATCGCCTCCCGTGTGACAGGTCATAAAAGCGACAGCGACAAATTTCGCTGATCGCGGTCGTTTGTCGCCTCCCGTGTGTCGAGCCCATTATTCTGCTCTACCAATCCTGCAAATCCCGGGATCCAATGATTTTTTTTCTTTCCTATTCATTTTCTTTTTCTCTTTCCTTACATTTTTAATCACAACTCATTTTCTCATTTTAATCACGTTTTTTTAAAAGCTTTTTATATTTAAAATTTTGTTCTAGTGAAGCGTCTCGTGATTTTTATCTTAAGAGGCGCTATATAAATGATTGTTTTCTTTCTTTATTTCAACCTTCAAAACCTACCATTATAAAAAAAATAAACTGAAATATTAGTTGAGATGAAAAGCTGAGATTCTCTGCTTATCTAAAAAAAAGGTTATATGTAATATGTCGGCAAACGAAAAGGTCTGCAATCAGCAAATTGTACTCAACCAGTCAACTAGAATTTTATAGGAAGATGTTATTGTTTTAAGTTTTTTAAATCATTCCGATATTTTTCTGTGGATATACATGTTCTTTATTAACTATTTTGTGGTCACTTTGGCCCAAAGCTTTGAAAATTATGGTTGATTTCATTTTATGGCATTGGGATATTCCCGCCAATTGCAAGTGTTTCCCATTGTACTTTCAAATATTAGTTTTAGACACTTTGCTCACTCAGTTAAAACTTCAGTAACTGATTGCTTCTCACACTATATTTTATTAATATTGGAGACCTACTAACACTGTTACATTCTAAGAAACAATGTCACACTAAATATCGCTGCGTGTGAAACATTAGACTAAATAGTGTCACTAAATATGCATCACCGTATGCAACATTGCCATGAAAATTTTTAAAAATATTTTGTCAATGAAACATCGTCAAAACAACCCTACAAAAGACATCCTCATACAAAAAAAAGCCCTATACAAAACATTAAGATGCAAACATCGCCATACAAAACATAACTGTTTGAAACATCAGATAGAAAACTGCCAGAAGACATTGCCATACCAGACACTAAAATAGGACATCACCTTATGAGACTTGCAACATTGCTGTAGAAGAAAAATCAGCTCATGAGATCTTGCTATAGGAAAAATCAGCATACGAGACTTTGGCGTACAACAGATGGTCATAAGAGACATGGTCAAACGAGACATTGTCATTCAAGATCTTAACATAGAAGATGTGGTCATACAAGATGTCGTAAGAGACATTGTCATTCAAGAGCTTGGCTTTCAAGAAATCATCATGATAGACATTTCCTGATATCATGATAGCTGTACCTTCCGAAGCTAAAATCAAGACCGCAAACTAACGATGTTTAAAAAGTTATTTCAAATTCCTGCTCCACTGATGGGTAGAAGACTTCAAATCTTTAAATTATCACAATCTGTATGCATTTGCACTATGGAGTTACAACTCCTACACTCACAATAGCATTTATAAACCAGAAGGCTTGAAGATGCTTCTCAAAACCAACTCCTGTAAATTATTGACTTGAGTGAAAATCCACAGCAGTGCATCCAAAGCGGTTTTAACTCATGTGATGTGCTGCATTAAGCAAAAACACACACAATTATTCTGTCTGGCCAGCCATTCAGGCCACAATCAGCATTCTAGCGAAGAGGAACCACAGCAGAGGACAAATGGATGCATTCTTCTACATATGCATGCCGAGGATTAGTATGGCAGATATGCATTGTATGTTTTTGCATCGCTCCACCCTAGAGTAAAAGTGCAGACAAAGCATTAATCAAAAGACGAGTGGTTTGAATTTAATCATCTACAGATATTTGCTGTGCACATGCAGCACTGTAAATAGCTTTCCGGTGTTAGCGTGTGCCAGGAAAAAAGAAAAGCAATTGAGACGGCGGATTCATGGTCCCTAAGGACGTCAGTCGAGTCATTTAATTTCCTTTAATGGGCCGATATATATTTGAAGTTACAAACTGAGGACGTAAATGGGAATACAAGTCTGAGTTTAATACAACGTGCAAAACAAATCACAAAAGATTTCTCCTAAACAAAGACACCCTAAACCCTGAAACGGCTTTGATAATTTACCTGCAGCTGTATCACACTAGGACACTTACCTCGCCAACCCCGCTGCCTCTTTCTGCTTCATAAAAATGAAAGTGAGGCAATTTTAGCATGGCTTTCATCGCCCAGAATCCCCTTTCATACAACAGCTCTCTAACTTGCAAAGATGCGTGGCTTCTAATAAAGCCGTACAATCTAAAAGAAGAAGGAACAAAGGATGGGGGTCTGGCTCAAACGGGGTGTTCATTTATCAGTGGACACATTTCAAATCCTAGCTCCAGGCAACGGCTCGTGAAGCATCACAAGAGATAGCCCATGGGGGCTGCTGCTGGGAAAGCAAAAACTGCTTTGATGAGCCTTGTGCCATTCTTGCACCTGTGCCTAATATGCATGGGAGAAAAAAACCCAGATGCAAGCAGTCACTAAACGAAGAGAAAACAGAATAACTTACTTTGTGTTTGCTGCTGTAGATGTTCTTCTACTTTGCATCTATCAACTTGTTACAATTTGTAAAAACTCACACATCCACCCTAACCCTAACCCAAACTCCTGTCAAATAACAAAATACAAAGTTCAGAACGTAGTCCCCAAGGGCAGCCGGAACCCTGAATGTAGGTGTGTTTGTGTGACACACAGGTTTGATTTGGACTTTCTTACATGAAAATGAGATACAAAAAGGAGGTAAAACTTACCAGGGCCTCTCTTCACCACATCTTTTTGGCAATGGACCACAAACGCATAAAGCAAGATCAGAAGTGGGATTGGAGCTTTCATTTTTCCTTACCAGTCCTAGGAGAAAAAAGAAAACTACTTTATCCTTCTGAGAGAAAGCAACCTAAATCAATCCAAACATCAAAAATAAAATATCTGGATTTAATGCTTCAATTAAAGCTAATAACAAAGCTTTTTAAATCTAGAACATCTGTGATCTTGGAGATCTTCTCTGCATGCTTATTTTGTTTGAGATCAGTCCTGTCCTCCATGAACAGGCCAAGACTGTAGATGACACAAGTGTCAGGATGAATTTCTTTGCTGCTTTGTCAGCTACCTTCAACAGTAATTCACCTTTTCCTTGAGCCAACATGACATAATCAGGTGCCAGCTAAGATAAACTTCTCTTTTTATTAGCGTAATGATTTATGGAAGCGGCACGAAAGATGGAGAGAAGATGTGGTATTCACAGCTAACGATATGGTGCATTGTGGCGATGAGATTTGATGAAATCTACACGTTACCTATAGAAGGCATTGTTAAGGAGTTCAGTCTGTAGACACAAGCAATTCTCGGGCTAAAGCAGAGAATGTGTAACTACACGTAAGGTATGGTATGGTATGGTACACCTAAAGGCCTTTCCCATCGCCCAAACTGGCATGGAATAGGAGGGATAAGGTCACAAATTTTTCTGTTCCGATTGTAAAACCGATCCAACCTACCCGGACCGTGCAAATACCGCAACACATTCTCACAACCTAAGCGTCGAAAAATGACGCGGTGTGACCAAGCGTTTGTTTCCGACGTCGTCGAGAGGCGACGTGCTGTGCCAGAGCGTCGGTATCTGACGCCCGCGGTAAAATGGAGATTTAATCGACATTTCACCTCTAACCTCCAGCGATTTAACCTTCCCCTCACCCCATACTAAACTTAACCCAGTATGTCAGTCTAAATTTTCCATTAAGCGTGTTTGAGAGGAACGATGAAACAAGAAAACAAAGCTTTGCATGCGCAAGCTGGTTCAGGTTAGGATGGGGGTCAGGGTTAAATAGCAAGAGGGTAACGGTCACAATTTGGTCAAATGTTTGTTTTACCGCAGGCGTCAGATATGAAAAATGACGCTGTGTGACCAATCGTGTTTCCGACGAGCAGGGTCACAAACACTTGGTCACACCGCGTCATCTTTCGATGCTTAGGGTGTGAGAATGTGTTGAATCACGGGAGTTTTTTGCCTCCCTTCTGTTGTTGGTTCAGAAATTTCTGGAGCAGTACGGTTAGGGTGGAGCCACAATACAGTCCACTAACTGGGTGACAGAAATACTTCACCACTTGCAACAAGCACAACAGAGTTCCGTTGTTTGTATTTTCATTTGCTGTACATGAATGTGAAAAAATGCCAGCAAGCAGCAGCAAGTTTTTGTCACCTTCAGAGTTCCATACATTTTTTACCATTATCGTGAAAGTCCACAGGAGGAGCTAGACGTATTTGTAGTTTTTTACTCATTGATGGCAGCAAAAGGATCAGAGCAGACGTCGGCACAGTGTCGGGCCAAGATGAAGGAGTTAAAGCCCAATATGGTTAAGGACAAACATCTGGAGCGGAATTTTTTTTTTCGGATGGGAGAAATACACGGAGATGCTACGATGCTATTCATAGCTGAGGCAGCGAGGCAGGCTTCTGGACTAACCCCAAAATTCCACTATCTCCGCTCCGCTCCGGCACAAACTCCGCAGCAAAAACGGTCCTGTTGTAGTCAATCAGAGCTGTTCCACTACTGCGGCCGTGCGGCGCAGTGCGCCACCCGCCGTTCCACCATCCGGCAAAAATAGGATCGATTCTATTTTTGCCGGACGCCGGAGCGCTTCCGCAGTCAATGGACAGAAATCACAACCGCCCAACATGAAAGGGAGCAAGCACAACTTCGGTTATTTCACAATAAATCGACAACAAAAAGCGTTTTTTTTTTGTTGTTTTTTTGGTTTCATATGCACAGGTTTAACAACTTTTAACAACTATCATGGCGGTTGAACTTTAAATGCACAAAAATTTAGTATCCAGTTTCACTGCTTCGCGTATGACACCCGGCTCTACATTTCCAGCAAACCTAACTCCACTCTCCCACCCTCCTCTCTTACACTCTGCCTCTCAGAAATCAAATCTTGGTTAACCTCTAATTTCCTCAAACTCAACGGCAATAAAATCGAACTTCTTCTTGTTGGTACCAAATCCACCATCTCCAAATCTGACAGCTTTTCTTTAAATATTGACAGCGCCACAGTCTCCCCCTCCCCTCAGGTTAAGAGTCTGGATGTCATCCCCGATAGCTCACTTTCTTTTCCTGCTCACATCCAAACATAACTCGGTCAGCCTATTTCCATCTTCGATCATTAAACCGTCTCCGCCCCTCCCTTACACCTCACACTGCCGCTATTCTTGTCCACAGTCTCGTCACCTCCCCTCTCGATTATGGCAATTCACTTCTTTTTGGTCTCCCCTAAAAACTCCTTCATAATCTTAGACTGGTCCAGAACTCAGCAGCCCATATTATCACCAGAACACCTTCCTTTCACCACATCACCCCGGTTCTCCAGCAGCTTCACTGGCTTCCAGTTAAATTCAGGTCCATCTTCAAGATTCTCCTCCATACCTTCAAAGCCATCCACAACCTCTCTCCCCCATATAATTCAGACCTTATAAGTATTACCACCCCCTCCCATTCCCTCAGATAATCTTCCTCCCTCCATCTTGCTGTTCCTTCTGCACGTCTCACTACCATGAGGAGCAGAGCTTTCAGCCGCTCTGCTCCCCGTCTCTGGAACTCACTCCCCCCAGACATCAGAAATATTGACAGTTTCACCCTTTTCAAATCCAGACTCAAGACACACCTGTTCAAATCTGCCTATGACCTCTGATTTTATTTGAATTGTTTATTTTTCTATGCTCTTTTCTTCATTGTGTTTTATTATTGTTTTAATGTATTTTACTGATTGTATTTTCCTGTCAAGTGACCTTGAATGTCCTGAAAGGTCCGTTTAAATAAAATGTATAATTACTATTATTATTATCATTATTATAAATATATTGTGGAAATACAAAAATAAATAAACTATGAATATAATTAATAGATACGGATAAAAAACTACTCCAATAATTAATAAAGTCTATTAACCTCTGCCAATAACCTGTTTTGGACCAAAAGCAACCCCTGGACTATCCTGTTGTCGGTCTCACCAAACCTCACAGGGTTCTGTGTCCCTTTGTTCCCCAGCCCCTCCAGTTCCCACTCCAGGTTCTCCTTTTGTGTTTCATAGCGCCCTCATGTGTCCTTTGTCTGCATCTCATTTATGTGTCTCCTGTGTTCCTTTAGTCTTCTCCAGTCACCCCTCTGCAGTGTTTATAGTTTCAGCTTTTCATTTTTATTAGTCTCTTTAATATGTTTTGTCCCACCGGTTTTTGTAGTTCTCCTTCCCTTTAGAATTTTAGTTATATGGTTGCTTTTCTGTTTTTAGGTTCACTCTTAGGTCATGTTAGTTTCTTCTCTAATTAGTCATTGCTTTCACCTGGTCCTCCCCCCACACTCCACACACCTGCAGCTCATCTGCCTCCCATTATCCCCAGTGTATTTATGCCCTGTCTTGTCTCTGTGTCTTGTCGGTCCATTGTTGTTTGTCAGCGGTGTTTTGGTGTTCTGTGTAAGTTTCCGGTCTCGTTCCCAGTCTGTGCTCTAAGTGAGCTTATTTTTTTCTCCTGTCCCTGGATCTTTGGTTTTTGGCTCCCTGCCTTTTTGGATTTATTTTTATTTTGGACTCATCCTAAAATAAAAGGATTTTCTTTTATTAACTCCTGCCTCGTGTCATCCTGGGTATCTGCATTTTGGGTCCAAACCATCCTCTCATCGTGACACACAGGCTCACTGATTGTAAACAGTACCTACGTCCCTCTTTTGTTTTTGTTTTTTAAAGGAGAAATAATCAGCCGGCTGAGATGTAAATTCGTTTCTGTATAACATTCCTTCCAACACGACAGAGACATTACTGTTTTGTGATTATTTCACTGTAGAATTCTTACATGTTGCTCCTTTAAACTTCACAATATTCTGATCTACAGAAGCAAAGGTTCTTGTCTCATTAACAAAAGTAAAAGTAGGCTTAGATCAATCTAACATTTCTAATAATCAATATCTTTAAATAAAAGTTTAATTGCCAATCAATGTAGATAATTTTTCCGTTTTTTCCAGATTTTAAGCTAAAACCTTCAACTGCATTTTACTATGCATTTTTCAAACCAACTGCATATTGATTTTGTTTTAAATTACCAACTGTAGTACAAACAAAAAAGCAGATGCAAATCCACTGGGCTGTGCATGTTTACCTCGTGTAAAAATAGGACATTTTATCCAGCGAGCGTTTGAGTCTAGATGGAAAAGTAAGTATTTTTAGCATAGAGCTGCGTCCAGGATGGGCCTGAAAGGAGCAGTGGTGTGTCTGATTAAAACCCAGGCATCGTCTAGAGAGGAGCCTAAAGCAGCTGGAACAGGTGCAATTCAGGTGTTAGTTTGAGCCTCTTTGTTTGCTCTGTGCAAAAAAGAATCAAGTCTATCTTAGGAAAGAGATTTACAGTTTCGTGATAGGTGATGATGTAATTGCCCATCAAAGTGTTCCAACAGACACAATGCTAATGCTGATGCATGCTACAAGGGCACTTCTCCTGGAACTTCAGTCATCACAAAGATGCTTCATATACATTCTACAACGCCATGTCAGAGCGCTCCAAAAAATCCACAGAGTAACCCCCAGAGACCCTTGGAGACATCCAAAACTGGCCATCAGCCAACGATGGCGACTACCCCATCAAAGCCCTTTTGTCATCAGTGAAACTAACACCTCTGCAGAAAAGCTACTTGCCACCAACACAAAAATCTTATCTCTTTAATTACTTGTCTTTTGTTGCTTAATTTGGTTTGAGCAGAGGAAATTACATAGTTCTGCTCCGAGATATCCTCAAATGTTTTGGAGAACTCCTCAAAGAAAAGGTTTAGACCGATGTGCTGCAATTAATTTTGTTGATAGCTACTACA